AACTTATAAAAAAAAGTTATTACATAGAATAGGTAATATAAATTACCTCTAATCACAAAAAGTGTAAAAATTAGTCTACAGTTAAAGAAAAACTGTTATCACTACATCACTAATTGCGCCATAAGTATAACTTTTAGTGTGGTTGAAATATTTAGGTCTATTGTCATGTAATAAAAATTGTTCATTAATATACATATATATATATATATACAACATAATTTATATTTATGTAAAGCTCAAATATTTTGGTTTAACTGCTAAGTTCTTATTGTTTTATTTACATCATGGTTAATTGCTTATAGCCAACAAAAATAATGACAGACCATCATTTCCCACCAGTAGGTCTAACTTTTCCGCTAATGTACCACTCCTAAGAATGATGCGCATTTATAACTTGAATACCCTATGACACTTCGTACCTAGGCTACTTATTTACTTATATTTTTTATTATTTCAGTTAAATCACTCATATATATTGCTTTATTTTATCAGTTATAATTTATGTCTCATTGTAATGTTACGTATTCTGTGTTCTATCCTGTAAAAGCCGATTGGCATTAATATATGTAAATAAATAAATAAATAAATTTCTTCCTTTGAAGTTTTTTCTATGATCTATTTACAACAGTATATTATAACAATAATATAAAATGTATATTATTGTAATTCTAATTCATATTTGACATGTATAATTCTATTAAAGCAATTGATGTAAAATTAAACTTATGAATCAAATTGAGTGCAGTGATTAATTTTAAAAATTGCCAAATATTTAAAAATAAAACAATATCATATTCAACAAATTAATTTTTAGATACATTAAATAAATTGTAAATTGGTATTTCATTTTGATTTTCAGATATTAAATTTCACAAAAAATCGTTGCGTTTATTTAAAAATCAATTTATTATTAATTACATCGATACTTCTTTTCAAATTGAACTTATTGAGTTGAAAAAAAATTAATTCTGTTGTGATTTATTTCAAAAAATTATACTTTAAAATTGTATTAAAAACTTTAGAACGAGAATATCCCTACTTTTAGAGACATATTGAAAATCACAACTATTAGGTTCAACTTATACACGCGAACCATTACTTTCACGAAAGAAACCACAAAATCAGTTCATCACAATTTAAGAATAAAATCTTCATTCAATTTTGAGGGTTAGAACAATCAGGTTTTTCATTATTAGTAAACAAAATACATGCTTAAATTTCACATTAAAAATAAGTGAAAAAGTTTTTATGCATTTTTAGTTTTATTATTAATATTAATATTGTATTCTTGAAATATTTAAAATAGTTCATAAATTAATAAAAAATTGTATTTGTAATAATTTTACTTTTTTTTTTTTTAATATTTTGTTTTATTTTAAAAATGTATAAAGAACCAAATAGAATACCTTAGCTAATCGTTGGACACCACTGTTTCAAATAAATAAAAAATATACAATTTATCATCTTTTTAATTAAGATATGTCCATTTTAATAGTAGGTATTTCCATTTTTTACAAATGCCGTGACCTAGCTCCTCATTACACTATTTTGTCTAATAAACTAAAGCCGTGATTTTGTATCGATTCATACACGATTTAAAATATATATGAGACAAAATGTCCTATTGAAATTTTAATAAAATATTTAAACACTTTCTCATACATTTATGAAATATACTAAAGCATTTGTATGCTTGTACAATAAAGTAGGTATATGTTATTATTTTGTTTTATATAATTCTGTCGATTAATTTTAAATAACACCCCCCTTTTAAAATACTTATCTATGCGCTTGACGTATACATAAAGTTATGTATTTGAATTAAATTATATTAACGTAAAAATATTTATATACTAATGTAATAAGGAGTTTTTGTTAATTCTTATTAGGCGAGAAATTTATGTCGACTCATAAAAACATTTTTATTACCTACTTCTGGTGAATCACCTGCTTTCAATACATGCCGGGAATTATATTCTAGTCTTGGTAATTTAATATGTATCCATTTGTTTTCGTTTTTTTAATTCCTTATGGTAATTAGCAATTAATTTAACTACGTATAGATTAGATCGATTAAAATAAATTAATGAATATTATTCATGAAAACACCGATATCTTATGGACGAATCTAGCTCATTAGAAAATCATTTTTTAAGAAAAGTAACATGGAAGAACTATTTCACTACAGACTATTACCAAAAAAAATTATAATCCTGTTCGGAAAAAATTTTTCAGTTACATATTCAACTGATAGTAATGATTGTCACTAGTGATTGAAAACTTATATCTGTTTACATGTAACAAATATTTGGCCGAACACTCAGTGGCATAGCCAGGACTTTTTTTCGGGGGAGGGGGGGGTTTATAATTTTTTTCAAGACATGTAGCAACTTTTATGGATCATTAAAATAATTTTTAAATTTTCTTAATATTTCGGGGGGAGGAGGGCTGCAGCCCCTCAGCCCCATCCCTGGCTACGCCACTGCGAACACTATCCCGTGTGAGCTCAAGGGACCAGTACTCGGCCTGGTAATCTGACGAGTGAGTAGAAACCGTTTTTATTCACTGGGTCGAGTGACTAGCCCATTATCAACATATGTACTGTACCTAATCGACGTGTCTGAACCGACAGGCGAGTGTTGTGTGAATTAGTTGCAAATCCAGTGGCATCTTAACTGGCTGTTATTCGACCCAGTGAATAAGATATGTGTAGATGCCGATTCGGTCAATTTTAGTACAGTGGCGTAGTCTAAGGGAGCTAAGAGAGGCATAGGTGTCTTTTCGCTACCACAAAAAAAGTTATAGATTTTAAAAATATATTCGAAGTTTATTATTCAAATGTGAACATAAACATAGAACATAGACCCTCTATTATTGTGATTGTATCCAAAATAATTATATTTTGTGATAAGTCTAATACGAACAATAATACAGTGTATACACTCATACCAAGATTTATGAAGAAGAGTTAACCAGTTATCATGATAAACCTTTAAACATTTATTTCTTAACTTTCTAAAAATAAACTTCGCAACCCCAACATTTGGACTTTAGTGACGCCCATGCTAAGAGGGCTATAGCATCTCTCTTATGGGCAGGCCCGGATTAACACTATCGTAGGCCCTAGGCCCCTAGTCCTTGCAGGGCCGTTGTCTAGTATTTAAATGATTAAGAAACCTTCTCTTTGAGAGAGAACGTGTAGAATCTCATGCAGTAAATCAAGCTTTTAAATGCAATAATTGTCGCCGCCGACAGCGAGGTGCCCGTATCTGCTAGGATGCCACCTGATGATCGGGTTTCACGGGCGGCATTGGTCGCACACACACGCATAATTATCTATATTGTGATTTATTTATTTTTTTTATTAATTGTATGTGAATTATTTAAATTAATTAAGTACAAACGCGTTATCCGTTATCGGCGCGTTATCTGCATCGCTGGCTCGTCGGTGCACGTATTTTAACACGGCGCCGCAACTTTTGTTGTTTCCGTACCTCCAACGTCTTATGTTAGAATATTGTTACAATTTTATTTTCTCTAATAGAAAAGCACTAATAATTGTTATTATTTTTTTATTATTATAATATATTGTTTTAGGCTCTAATAGCCGTATATTTTGCGTGCGCGAATCGCCGTAATTTTAGCTTTTAGGTAGCGGCTGACCAGTTCTGCGCACCGACAAAATTGTGAGTTCTTTTTTATTTATTTATTAGTTACTTATTTATTCAATTTAATTAATTTATTATTGTTGGGCCAAAAGGGCCGTGATTTATATATTGTTTGTTTGTTATTTATTAATTATTTATTAATTAATTTATTAATTTATTTATTATTTATTAATTATTTTATTTATTAATTTTTGTCTATATTATATTGTTGTGCCATACAGGCAATTATTGAATTTTACTATTTATTTTTGTGTTGCTGTGAGTTTTATATATACCATTTTACCATTTTGTTACCAGAAATACATTAAATATTTAGTAACCATTTTTAGTTGTGTCTTGTGTATTATTTTATTCTAGTTCTTAAGTACACACACGACATTTATACACAATTACACACCATCGCATCACGTAGCTCGTCAGTAACTGCCCGGCAATCCTGATCACTGCTGTTCGAGCTACTTACACCACTACACACCCAGCTATTTTCACCGTGTTAATTAGTGGTGCGCACGGGTATTAGTGACCGGACAACGCATAATATTATTTTATGCACCCGGCACAAACAATAATATTTACAACATAAAAATTAAATCTAAACTTTTTTATGATAACTATTAAACATTTTTATACGATAAAAGTTGTAATAGATGTCAAAAAAATTAATTTTAAGAGTTTCCGCCTTATCGAGGTTTTACTGTATAATATTCATAGATATATGTATATATGATATATGAAGTATTACAAGATATAGGTAATCATAGATGTGTGCACGATTCATGCTGGGTGTGTCAGGGCGCTCCCGAAATGTTATAAATGGGACCGTAAGATTTAACTCTAAGAGTGAGGGACCCATATTTCAACTGATGTTGCTCAATTTAAATGTAATTTATTTTAAAAAATTTTATAAAAACAAAAAAAGTTCCGTAATAAAAAAATAAAACTAAATTTTCTAAATTTTCGTGCAAAATTTTCTTACAATAATAATATATTAGCTACAATTGACTACAAGAGAACAAATCATACTCGTAAGTAAAACTATTCAAGAAGATTAAACCATAGACGTATAATAGAATTATCTATTATACATATATGGATTAAACGCGTACATATAATTAATTTTAATATGATAAATAGCTTTAGACCACGGTTAAAGATTAACCGTGCTTTAGACCATGGACAGATATATTTTATCATGCTTTGGACCACGGTCTTAAAAGACAGGGTTTTAGACCGTGGTGCGCGTTTTTGTTATCAATATTATTATCACCTCATCACATTATCACGGAAACAATATATACCTTATAAAATTGTCTATTTTTCAAATACTTTTATATTTTTTAATTATACAAAGATTTTTATTTTCCGAACTAATAAAATCTACTATTTTTCAATAACTAAGTTTTAATTTTGTAAAATTAATTTCAAAATGACTACATTACGACCATTCAACTGTGACGATTTGTTTAAATTTAATAATGTGTAAGTGATATTTTATACCAACACTAAATTATTTTTCTGTTATTTGTAATTTTCCAATGAAACATTAAATTACTAACCTTCTCGTTATATTATTGTATTAAGTTTTATATTTATTAGAAATAAAACACTTTCAAAAAAGATGGACTTCATTTACAATTTATGGTCAAATATTTTTTTTTTAAAACGTGATTTTTTTTTTTTTTTTTGGTGAAAATTTCGGTAAAATCTAAAATTTCCTATCATAATTACTTTTATGGTATGAATTAATCTTGTTACACTCGAGGTGATTTTTCTTAACAAATTGAGGGTTATTATTGATTTTGTTGAGCGGGTGCTTTGTTAATGTACGTACAATTAATGATTATTTAAACGCATATTCCCATGTTGCTCAACAAGTGGGGACATTTTGTTTAATGTATATAATTGTATAACTTACTTATTTAATACAACTAATGTGTTTTATCTGGTTTTTCGATACGTTTTTTGACCATTACTACTATAGAAATTTTAATTGACTCTTTTTATGAAAGTATCATCTTATTATAAATGTAAAAACATACAATTTGAAAAAATAATTGTTATAAATAGTTTGGGAACTAAACTACATTCATTCCATAAATGTTAGTACAAATTTATTTGATAAATGTTAAGTAAATTATGGTTTTCTTACACAATCACTGAAAAAAAAACACTAATTAACTCACAAAACAAAATTGTTATTTAAAAAAATAAATATTTTTATCTATTTTTACCACATTTCTTCAAAAATTAAATATTGAAAAATAATTATGTAAGAAACTGTATATAAAATAATAATTCATAGTTTTATAATTGTATATTATTAAGTTGTTAAGAAGCATTCAAGTATTTTGTCAGCATATTTTTAAGCATTTTTGGACTCCACATGTTAGCATATATCAAATAGTGACTCTCCTCTTATCATACATCAACATTTTTTATAGACCCCTTATACATTTTTTTTATTCTTTAATTAATAAAATGTATTTTTTGAATTATCAAAATAAATATAATAAGAATAAAAACATGGCATGTCTTTAGTATTTTCTGTAATTCATTGACAATTGCTTTTTTCACATGTCAATTCAAATTTTAATAATTATAATGCTGATATCAGATTTGAGATTAAATCCTCCCTTCCTTTAGGTAAGAAACTATGATTTCTTGAACCCTTTCCCTCGGTCTGCTGATGTAATACTTGAATTCTCCCTTACTCTAAAATTACTTTTTTTTTAATAAAATTGAAATTTATTTCAGAAACTTAGACACACTGACAGAAACGGTATCCTTTTTTAAAATTTATAAATTCTAGACATTTTTTAATAATAGAGTAAATTAATAAAATAAAAATTAATGTTTATTGTAGTAATTTAGATTTTTTTTTCATAACCTTTTGTTATTAATAATTATTTTCATTTTAAATGATGTAGAAGCTATTATTTCATATGAGTATCTTAACACATACATTTCACAGTATGCAATACCATTTTATATGCAATACCTAGCACATTGGCCCGAGTATTTTCAAGTAGCAGAATCACCTACTGGGGAAATTATGGGCTATAGTAGGTTTTTATACTAATTTTCAATACTTTTGCAATGTGTTGTTGACTACAGTTGTTTTAATGAACACTAATTTACGTTTTTCATTGATAAATATAACTCTATATCTAATTATTAGTCATGGGAAAATCTGAAGGACAATCAGACAGTTGGCATGGACATGTAACTGCTTTAACTGTTGCTCCAGAATTCAGAAGATTAGGTGTTGCAGGTGTTTTAATGAATTGGCTGGAAGAAATATCAGAAAAGTAATGTTTTAATGTATAAAATAATATTTACAATTCTTAATATACTAATTTACAGAAAAGATGCATGGTTTGTTGATTTATATGTACGTGTTAGCAACACAGTTGCTATATCAATGTACAAGAGTCTTGGATATACAGTTTATCGTACTGTATTAGAATATTACTCTGGAGATCCTGATGAAGATGCATATGGTATATATAATTTATTTTAAGATTTATAGTTTTATACAATCAAATATTTATTTAATATGTATTTTCAGATATGAGAAAAGCACTTTCTAGAGATGTAGAAAGAAAATCTATTATACCACTGGAACATCCTGTAAGATTAGAGGACTGTGATTAAAAAATGAAACATGTATTTTGCAAATGTCAAAAACAATAAATTATTGTTCAAAATAATTTATGTTTATATTTCATGTTTCTTCATTAGTTTCTTCTAACTTCCTCTTTTTCCAAGCTTTAGCTGTTTCTAAAAGTTTAAGATTTGGTCTTGCTGCATCATCCTCTGGGAAAATGTAATCTATCTTTTCTTCCCATCCCTTGTCTCGCTGAAAATTTCATAAAATTATAAATAAATAATAAAACTATTTTAATTTTAAATTCCAAAAATGCTTACTCCACTTTCGGAGGCATAAGGCACTCTTTTCTTGATTCTCTTGGGCAGCATATTTTTAACTTTATTTTTAGTATCTTCGTTTCCATTTTCTTCTTCAAACCTATACCATGCTTGTAAGATACCTTCCCTTTCTTCTGGAGTACCACTTCTTCTTAATGCTTCATTACCTCTTTCAAAAACTCTTCTTGCTACAGATATACAGTCAATACCTTCCTCTCCTGATGTTGTTTCAAATTGAGCATAACTCATCCAAACCTAAAATGAAAATAAAAATATTTATTATGTATACTTCAAAGTGAAAATTTACAAGTAAAATATTTTTTTTTTTTTTTAAATTTTACCTTGAAATGATTAGTCCTTTCCAGAAGTCTTTCATACAACTTTCTAGCTCTTTCAGTTTCCCCTTGTAGAGTTTCAAAATCGATGAAAGATTTCCATAGAACTTCAGGCATATCTAAACGTTGTTGGTTAACAGCTAATTCATAAATAGCTCTTGCACGATCCAGATCACCTAATACTGTTTCTAATTCTGCAAACTTATTTATTTTTTTTTTTTTAGAAAAATGTACATATATTAAATGAAATAATGTAATTATGTTCTAAATATTTTAATGCATGTAAAGAATAGAGAATATTAACTAAATATACATACTCGAATCCATGTAACACAATTTTCTGGTCCAAATTCTAAATACTTTTCGTACAAAATACGGCATCGTTCAAATTCTCTAAGTTGTATTTCTAAATCAATATAGCCTCTAAAAAGTTTATCCCTGGGACACAGTCCTAATGCTACACCCTATAAAATTATTGAATTATAAGTTAATTGTAATAATTAAAAATATAACAAATCACCATTCGCTTCCTCGCAGCTGTTAAATTTTTATGGCGTATTTCAAACTGTGCATAATACAACCAAGCTTTTGAAAATGTGAATATTTTATGAGGTATAGTAGATATAAATGTCTGATATACATCACGAGTACGGTCTTCATCTTCAGCTTCTAGTTCTTCAAATAAAGCATAATTTATCCACAAGTAAACATATCGACGCCATGCATGTTTTTCCTTAAAATAAGAATAATAATAAATATAAATTCACAATTAACATATTAGATATAAATTAAATTAAAAAAATAATATAATATATATATATATATATAATAATAATAATTTAATGAACATACATTTGAAGGAGGAATGTTGGCAACCGCTCGTTCATATGTATCTCGAATGACTTCTAGATTTCCTTCACTCTCTACTAATTTTAAATAATCAAACCAAGCATCGTAATTTGTTGGATTACCTTTAACTTCCTAAAAATTAGAGAATTTAGAATAATATTTTAAATTAATTAAAATATTAAAATACTTGTTCATATTGTAGTTTTCTTTTACTGCTAATAACACTTTCAATTGCAGTTCGATCTCCAAACTTTTTTTCATGAATTGTATAAGCTTTATAAATATCATGACATCTATCTTTTGGAACATGATCCAAAGCATATTTATAAATGACTCTCACACGATCATGCTAAAATAAAACTAACAATTATTTAACTTCATTTTTTTTGTGAAAATCAAAAAATATTTTAAGGTCAATTATATTACTTCTTTTTGTCGTTCCTCAAATTTTGCAAATGCAATAAACAAATTTTCATTGATATATTCATCACCAAAAAATTCAACTGCTTTTTCAAATACACTTCTTCCTCCAGCAATAAAGCCATTTTGTTCTTCAAATCTAAATATACAATTATAATTTAATCTCATATATTTTAAACATGTGACAAAACTTACCTAGCATATCTTATCCAATTAGTGACATCTGGATGCACCATGACAAAATTATTATAAATTTTTCTAGCGCGATCGACTTCATGGTAACGCAATTCAAACTTAATATAAGTTAACCAAGCTTGTTCTGGAGGTTCCCATTCCATCCATCGTTCGAAAACTGCTCTGGCTCCTAAATAAATTATTTTCATAATAAACATAAGAGTAAATAAATGAATCATTTTGGTTTTACCTGCAACATTGCCTAACATCTCTTCCATGTAAGTGTATTTGTACCAAAATTGATTTGCACGAGGCATGATGACAACAGCACGATCCCAAAGGTTTCTGGCATGCATTACTTGTCGATGTCTCATTTCTAGTTCTGCATATTTTAGCCATAGTGTTATATTTCGATGATCTGTATCTAATGCTCTTTCATAAATTGATCGGGCTCTGAAATATATATATAAAGTTATAATATTATGTTTAATTAAGAATAATAATTTAAATTGTATAGAAAATATAATTATTATCGATAACTAGATGTGTTTTAGTAAAAACAGCTACAGGATGCCTAAGAAACACACTGGTAGACAATATATACCAACTCGCAATTATTCCACCATAATCGGTCTGACATTTGATATCTACTTAAATAAAACGTGGTATACAAATGAAAGACAGAAGGCACATGTACGGCCAGTTTGCCCCTACTTCTTGATTGAAGTCTAAGAAGTCTTTCCTGAAGATGACGAAGGAGCTATCAGATACACCCACACAAGTAGGATATCAAGGTAGAAAAAACAACTAATGGACATGACTGGAAAGGTCCTACATGAAAAGGTAGAAAGAACCATCAGAAAAATTACCACCTGGTTACAATTTGGACTGGCTAGTATGAAAACATTGAATAAACTGTGTGTTGGAGTAGGGCAGTCAAAAGAAAATATGTGAAAAAAGGGATATCGAGATCAAAATATAACATGCGGACTCAAGTAATACAGCAGCATTAAAATATTAGTTTCAATTCAGCTAGCAAACATTTAATAAGACTGTACGTATATTAAATAAGAATATTTACCTTTGAATTTCTTTTTGACTTTCTTCCCATGCAGCGTATTTGATCCAATTACTAATATTAGTACGGTTCCTTCGGATATTATCTTCAAAAGCACGGCGTTTTCTATGCTGATAATCTCTTAATTCAACTGGATCAGAGATTTTTTGTTTTGGAGGCTAAATTAAAGTGAAATATTAAAATATTAAGAATGAATCAAATAGACAGCCTTGAAAATTTATTTTACATTTGAAGTATACCAATTTAAGACACTATAATAATTGAATACTTACTGGTGGTACAATTTCAAGATCTCGTTCCTTAGCCTCTCTTAATAACTGTTCAGCAGTGATTTGAATTTCAGCAGGTGCCTTGTTTTTTTACCTAAAATATAAATATGAGTATGAGTTATGACAAAAAAAAAATAATAAGCAATAAAACAACTATTCATAATTTTTACAATAAATACCTTAGCAACTTTGGGTATTTTCTGTGGCTTATCCATCTTATTTTTTCTTATTTTTTTATTTCTTAACTTAATTTAATTTAAACAAAAATATGTCTAATCACGTTTAATATTAATTCAAAAAATATTATATTTCATCCTATAAAAGGAAGCTTATACAAAAATTCCAAACAAAGATAAGATTCTCCTATGGTTTAATATATATGATCTCATTGACAAGAATATAAAATAATATATATTTTTTTGTGTTTTCGTTCGGTTATATTCGTTAACAATGGTATAAAATTATAGTTAGTATATTACTTAGTTGAAGGTTTATGGTTACATAGCATATATTATATTGATAATATGTTATCAATAATGTTATTTGTGTTTATTTTCTTTTCGTAATAATCAGACTAATGGATCTTCATAGCATAGACCTTATACTCATAAGGTCTATGCTCCACAGGAAAAACTCCGGATCCATGACGTCATTAGTTAGTGTTATCAATATTGTACTTATCAGATGTTATAATGATTAAATGAGTGGCGATTTATTTTTGGCACTTGTTTAAATTTTTACTACAAGTACTAGAGATGGAAGGATACATTAGAAGGCTTGATTGAAGGGACTATTTAGTAATAGGAGGAGCATAAAAAAGAGTTTAGGTTAGATTATTTTATCACAATTACAATGTATAAAGTTAAAATATAACAATAACATAAACCTATCTGGTCTTTTCAATCCAAATACCAAATCCAACCGAAGCTCCTTTTTATGATCCTTCTATTATTGAATAATCTCTACAATCAAGCTCTTTAATGTATCCTTCAATCCCTGGCGCTTATTGCAAAAATTTAAACAAGTACCAAAAATAAATCACCGCTCTTTTAATCATCATAGCATCTGATAAGAACAATATTGATAACACTAATTAATGACGTCATGGATCCAGAGTTTTTTCCTGCGAAGATTCATTCGTATTATCAGCAATTTGTATTGCCTCGACACCTGTCTGAAATCTTGATTATTTGTATTAATATTTATTTAGTATATAAATATATATAGATAAAAATGCATAAGACTATTAATAGCTTAACCAATGACTTGAGTTCAGTCTTAAATTTAAGGATGTAAAATTTTATACTTTAACTAATGGAGAAGGAAGAACATAAAGAAGTGTATGGTAAGAATCTAAAGTATTTTATACAGTTTAAGGTTGTAAATGAACGCAATTTAAACGCCATTAATGAAAACATATTTAACAGTGCAGTTATGCTTTTATATTTATAGATACTCCTGTTACTGATGAAAATGGTTCTCCTATTAGTATTGTGTGGAAACCTGATCGTATGTATTTAATAAATAAATATAGTTTATGTAAAATATGTTATACTTGGAATATGTTTTATAGTTTATAAACTTCAACAAGAATCACCTAAGCCCCAGCCAGTATTTGCATCCAGTGCAGTGTCTGGCTGTCCATTTTTTTATGGTCTTGAATATCATGGAGCAATGAACCATAAAGAGGCTAGTTCACTGTTAAAAAATGATGGAAACTATCTTATAAGACTTAGTACTAGTTTAAATGATAAAACATATACTCTTTCCTTAAAGTAAGTCATGTTTTTCAATATTAATTTTGCTTATTAACAGCTGTAACAAAACAAATATATATACAGATGCATATACTTTTAGAATATTTAACAAAGTTCATCATTATAAACTATTTTATGATGGACAACATTATGTATCACAAAAACGTTTTAACACAATCAATGATCTTGTAGCGGATGGTTTGGTAAGTTAATCTTAATGTTAATAAAAACTATAAACTAGTTATTTAAATGATTTTTTCAATATTAATAAGGTTATACTTTTTTATACTTAATTGAATTATATTTTACATTTCTTCTTAATATTGATTGATTAATAAAATAGAATACAATTGTCGATTCAAGTTTATTTATTAATTTTAGCAATGTTGAGTTCTCATTTATTTTGTAAATAATTTTTAAATATTTATTAATATTAACTTTCAGTTTACTAAAATATAACTTTTACCTTTTTATTAAAATCTGTATTTTATTTACTCAAATGGCTGTATTTTGTTTTTACTGAATAAATCACTATACAGTGTACAGTATATTAATTATTATTTAAAATATAACAATGTTGTTTTTAAATAACAGGTAACATTATACATAGAGTCTAAAGCTGGAAAATACATTCACTTAATGCACAGTTTAATCAGTTATGAAAAGAGTCCTTATATGACATTAAATAAACTTAAACGTAAAACAATTAAAAAATTAAAACCCAGACAACTTAATTGTGAAGAAGTTGTTGACTACGATAAACCTCACAACTTTAAAACACATAACTTTAAAGGACTTAATTGGTGTGAACTGTGTAGTAATTTTTTATGGGGTTTCACTCAGCAAGGAGTTAAATGTGAAGGTATTTATTTTAATTTGTTATTTATTTGCTGTAGCTAATTGTATTAATGTTTTAGATTGTGGGTTCAGTGCACATTTTAAGTGTTCTGAAAAGGTGCCATCTGATTGTTGCCCTGATTTGAAATTATTTCGAGGAGTATTTGGGATTGATTTAACTACTCATGTTAAAGCCTATAAAACTAATAGACCGTTTGTAATAGACAAATGTGTTGAAGAAATTGAAAGACGAGGTATGTCTGTTGAAGGAATATATAGGGTATCTGGTTTTCAAGAAGAGATGGATAATTTGAGATTAGCTTTAGATAAAGGTAAAATTAAAAATTATTAATGTGAATAAATATATACTTAAAATGGAAATTAATTTGTTTTATTTTATTCTTAATGTATAAAATTATATTTTGTTTTATTGCCCAGATATATAGAATAATATATTCTTTGTTTAAAAAAAAGTTTGTAATACCAATGGTTTAATTTTTAGATGGTAAATCTACTGTTATGGGTGATAAAGCTTACGAAAATATACATGTGGTAGCTAGTATCTTAAAAATGTATCTTAGATTGCTTCCAATACCATTGATCACATTTGACGTGCATCCTCTTGTTCTACAAGCTTTAGGTGAACTTTTCATTATTATTTATCTTTTGTCTAAATGTTTTAATAATTATGTTGGAATTGTTTTTTCTTTAAATTAATTTTTCCTTTATTAAATATTTTATTTTTCTTAGAAACTCAAATGTCTTGGGAAAGATTAGCAGAAGTAAGAGCTGCTTTGAAAAAATTACCACCAGCTCATTACAACACATTAAGTTATTTAATGGCTCATTTATACAGGTAAGTAGGTTAGGCATTTTATAAAGATCTTTGTCTATAGTTATAAATGTTAAATCTGAAGTATGATATTCATTTGGCCATACTTTAAATATTAAGTGATTAGAAAAATTGCTTATTAATGTAAATTAATTTTGTACTCACTTCTTTATCTTTGGTGTGGTAATATGTTGAGTAGTTGATCAATTACAATAAAATATAATAACTTTTACTATTAATTATATAATTGATTTGTATTATGTAAGCAGTAAAATATTTATTAAACTTTTTTATCAAGGCATACAAACATGTCAAATTGTGTATTTGTACATGATAAAGTATAAACTGGTTATCGATTATTTTATTCCTATTATTTTCATTGTAGGGTGACTTTACGATCAGATGAAAACAAAATGACTGCTCAAAATCTAAGCACAGTATTTGCACCAACTCTTATGCCAATGCCAGATTTAATCGATTTCAAGGGTACAATACCAGACATGAATCGTGACATAAGTGCATTACATATGATTATTGAAAATCAAAATGTTATTTTCAATTGAAATGTGTAACTATATTCAGTTTGTCAGTATTACTGAGTTCATAAACTATTTTTTTCTTATTTCAGTATTAATTTAAAACAATATTTTTACTAAATAAATTTTTTTATTATACTTGACCATATGTACTTCATTGAAATAATTATGGATTTATAAAATTGATGTATATTAGATTTTTTGTTATTTCATATTTTATATGGTTTTTTTTTTTATAATACTGTGTGATTTTTATATTATTTATAAAAAAAAATATATTGTCAAGTTTGAATGCTTTTTTTTATTGATTTTATAAGCAAATGTATAGGTCAGAATCTTAAATTTATTTCGAACAAAAAAAAATTAAATTTTCATTAAAAACTGTAATTCTTGTGTCAATTATTTTGAAAATTTATAAGAACCACCATAAGCTTTTGTTGAGCAATTTGTATAGTTAAATTTAAAAAATTTAATAGCAATATTAAATTCTCGCATTAAAAACAATTCTAAGTCATAGTTGATGTATTACCCAATAAGAAAATGTCAAGTAGTAAAATTAAGTAATCAGTCTCTCAAAGGATGATAGACTCCTTGGCATGGTCTTAGATCTACGATGCGCTCTCTAATGTCAATACACAATGAAAACTTTTGAAAGGACTGGTCAAATTTCCCAGATGGAATAAAACATAATTTAATTATTTAGATACACTGTCCATCAAGATTTTTTTCAACAAAACATGATTATAGAAATAGAAAATTATAAAAATGTTGATTTACCTGCCCGGAATACAATTATGTATGTTATGGACATAATGGAAAATTGTCTATAAAACCATGTCAGAATTGTATTATTTATGTTCATCATCAAAAACAGATCAATCTCTTTTATGTTTTCTTAAAGTATATTTTACAAGTGATCATTCAATGCTTAGAAACATTATTAATTTTATAATTTCATTTATGAGTTAGAAAATATTTTTATCAAATTATTTCCATATATTTATGTAGAAAATGGTATTGGATCTAAGATGACTCCACTTTAGTAAAGTTCCTTTAGTCATCCATGAAAACTTTGACAAATCTTAAATAAAAATTTATTTTCCTCTATAAATTGATAGTTACAAATACAAATAATCAAAGATTTTAATAAAATATATAATAATATGGACATACTAACAAATATGAACACTTCTAGTACCACTAAACTTTGAGCAATAAAGTTTTACAAATACTTCTATTTAGGCTTAAAAAATAAAATTTTATAAGAAAAATAAAAGAGTGGCAAATTTATTCTTATTACTTATATCCATAAATAGATCAATAAAATACTCTTATATTGATAGAATACAAATATTTTCAAGCAAATGAGTGGCAGCCATATTTTTAGCTAGATTAATATCATTATTCAAACCAATACCAAAAATTGGTGGATATACATTATCTATACCTAAAACCAATTGATTAAAAGTTGTACATATATTTGTTTTATTCATGACTTTTTCGACCAAAATCATTCCACATTCTTCGACGATTGTGTTTAACACTTCAAGAGGATTACTTATGTTTAATTGTCCTTTAGTTACATACTGTTTAACAACATTATCAAGAGTCTCAGTGTTTAACCATTCAGTTTGTTTAAACAATAAATGATAATTAGATACATTTTCATCTATGGGTCCATTTTTTCTCACAAAATCTGTTTTAATAAGTTCAACTTGATCTAAGACCTTTAAAGAGTCAGTGTTCTGCTTCTCAGGTTCCATCACCAATGATTGTTCAAGAGACTGAAATCTTTTTACCATCTGAACTGCTGACAAATGCTTGGCCTGTTTCTTGGTTTTGTGTGTAGCTATTTCAACCATTTTAGATAAATGACAACTAATAGTGAATAGTTTTGCATGTGCTTGACCTTCTTCTCGAACTAAACGAAATTCAGGCAATGCCAGCTTATTATTAGCACAAATTTCATTCAATTGACCAATAGCATTAACTTTGATATTGTTGTCAAAAGGAGATACCACATGATTATCAAAATCCCAATGTTTAAACTCCGTTTCTAATAACTGTGGATTATCTTTAATCATTAGTTTAAGAATTTTTAAAGCAGCTTCATGTTTAGCTTCTTTTTTAGAGGATCCTTCACCTACAGTTTCATAATTTCCCAACGCCAAGCTATATTTAAAGGTAACTTTACTTTGTGAAATGCCATTATGTATGATGTTATATTGGGGTACAAGATGATTTTTGGCCGCATATTCCTGCACAATAGAAGCAGGTGTCTTGTTCAATGAACTTATGTGAGCTTGTAGATCTAACCTTACAAATTGATTCATCTTCTAAAACAAAAAAAACAAACCATTTCATTAGTTAAATATCAGACATTACTCTTTTATTTAAATATAAATACATTTTTTTCCTTAAAAATGTCAATGAAATACTGTAAGAAAATTTAAAATTGTATGTTATTAAAAGTTGTTTAACAAATCTTAATATAATTTAATCCATAAAATATAACAATATTACACATTTGTAAAGGCTGATAACAGTAATTAAATAAGTTTATAGGTTTTTGGTTTCATCACAAAACTTTTAATTCGAATAATTAATGTTTATTCTTAGACTATTATATAAAAATACTTTAGAATCAAAAATTAAGGGAGATCTCTGATTAACTTCCAAATTTCAACATATCTTTTTGCGCCACGCAATTTCCAATTTATCAGTTTCTTTTTTGCTCCACAATTCATAAATGAAAATTCTACTATATTAATTTATAATAAAATAAAACAAAACCTACATTTCTTGTATAACATCAAAAATGAATATTAAATATATTTAGTGATATTTTTCCGCTTTGATTTTTCTAGTTTCAAGGTTTTTGTTATAATAGTTTAACTTTTTGAAACAATAAAATATAGCAGTTTATTTATTTATCAAAATAATTATTTTGATTTAAATGAGCAATACTTGAAATTTTAAGTTATTTGGATGCTTTCCAATGGACATCAATAAGACATTTTTTTAAAACTATAAGTAATAAACTCTGATTATCACTATTTGCTTTAAATTAAATATACATAACATGCATATACATAATAAATGTAAAATTCATTATGTATCTACATTTAACTAATTTGTTATTTTTAACATAATAAATAAATTAAAATGTTTATACTATTGCTGAAATTATATTGGATATCTATCCAATATTAATTATTCAACTTTTAATGGTCTAAAAATGAATTTTGGTTTTACATTGCACAATGAACATTACTCAATCCTAATTTTCTGGTTCCTCTCTTACTTTGATGTGTTTTCACATAACTTCAATTGTTACTCAAAAACCATAAATTCATGTATTTATAATGTGAGTACTAAAAAATCATATAATAAAAACATAACAAAAAGGAAGCAGTACAAACTTTAAATTATGTCTTCCGCCTGATGGATACTTATTACATCAATTTCACTGTCATGCACACTACGAACACAGAATAAGTTAAATAAGTATTGAAAGTAGTGATGGGAATATTTAAAAAATCAATCGTATGAAAAAAACAGTAGTAAAAATCTAAGATCATATACAATGGATGACCAAAGTATTTTTTTTCGTTGTGGATACAAGTGACAAGTCTCTTGATTATGTATTTAAAATGTGCATGCGTGATAAGATTTCTCGGATAATTCGAAACATTATGCCGGATGGAAGAACGCTGACCAATCAAAATTCAATACACTGAAGTCTTATCTGATAAATGTGCGAGTAACTTTTTGTGCATATCGCGCACTTAATTAAGAGACCCATCGCTAACATAGCAACAACGTTATTCCATTGATTAAATGGGAATAGCTCCAACCATAACATAAGTTCTAAGACTTTATCATTAGAGTGAAAAAACCATTCGATTGTCTACGGAAATCGATAATTTTTTTTTATTAGTCAGCACTCGCATTTTTAAAAAAATACATTGAACTTATGCTGCGGTCACAGTGGCACCGACTTCGGCCGACAGTTGTTCATTTAAATATCGATTACGATTAAAAGTGTACTTTGAGATAAAATGGTCGAAATTAAAAATTAAACAATAATACATTTCCTCTAAACGTCTAAGCCGGGACACCGGGACACGAAGTCCAAAACCGGTGACAATCCCGGTTTTCCGGGATGTATGGCAACCCTGCTTCAACGGTTTATTTTGACACAGTTCTGAAAGCTGCTATAACTCTCAGGCTAATTTTCCTATTGCTTTTATCTAACATTGTTAATCCTTTCCACCCCATGTGTTTTGACCACATTGGTGTTATGTATAGCATATATATATATTTATTTATCTGTGGTCAGTGTCGTATTTAGAAATTTTGCGCCCCTCTAAGAGACCTATTCACGGAAAAATAGGAGATAGAAACTCATGAACCTTTTAGATATTCTATAATCAATCTATTTTTGTGTAGTAGGCACGCCACCGCACACCGCACGTGATAACAATACGCCGTATTATTATAAATAACTTATGTTTATTGATATTATCACAACAAATTTGGGAACTGATATTAGGTATAATATTCTAGATCGCTGATAGCTATATTGCTATAAACACAATTTTTTTTAATGTGGATCATTTTATAATGAAATCAAATTACGCGTGTCTGTTAATACTAAATTGGGTTTTTTGTATGTACGTTTTTTTATGATACTGTTATTAAAAACAAAAAAAAAATAACTTTAAAATAATTTAAAAAGTTAAATAATTCACAAGCGAGCAAATTTCCGATCATAAAATTTTAGCGCAGGGGGCAGTTGTAGCCAGTGCTCCCCCCTTAAATGCAGCCCTGTATGTGGTTAACATCGAGTGATTGAGTCATTGAATTATTCAAATAATTTAATTTTATATTTAATATTGAATTTTTATGGAACACTGTAATAGGTTCAATAAAATTCGAATCCTTGAATCAACTCACGAACTACCGATCACTGTAGTTTAAACACTTACACGTTTATAACATACATACGTCAGTCACAAAAAATTAAAATGGTAACCAAGTAGGTAAAACTATGTGTTTTCCTATTTCTCTGTAAAGATAATTATTTTTATTTTATCACTACGTTAATTAATAATATTAAAATAACATTTATGTAATTATATTAATACATCTAAGGAATCAAATTACGACATATTTAAAAATTGCAACTTTATTTATTTCTTAAAGGTATAGAATAAGTATGATAAATAAATATTTACCGATTTCGAAGTTTTAATGAATAGTTCGTCAGACTTTGATCTTTTCATTGCCAATATTAAATATTTGGATATTTAACCCTTTGTTAGTGTGTTGGGGTTTAATAAACCTCACGTGATAAGAGTTTAAGTGATACTACTAGTGGTTAAACTAAATCAAATTTTTACCTCCATAAAATCCTTCTTAACAAAGTATTCTATCATGCAAAATAGTTTTGGTCACAGATATCTATATTATACTAGATGACGAACTTCCGATATCACTTGAAGCACACATTGATTATGTTATCATTTATCCGCCATGTTTTGGGTTGGCAAAATATTGTATCAACACTATTCCTCACACATCACAATATTAATTATACACTAGTTAGTAACTATTATTTATTAAATATGCCTGTTTCTTGTGTTGCATACAGTTGTTCAAATCGCTTTAAAAGTAATTCCTCAATTCACTTTTTTCGGTACGTTTGAAGTATAGATAATATGATTTAAAAACACCTCAACATTTACATTTTTAATTGCAACGTATATTCTGTACATTCTCTGTATCTGTATATTCTCAATAAGCTGAAAAATTCCAGTCTCATTCGTGCACCGATCCCGAAAACGACACAATTATTGAAATTTAACAATTTCTATCAGCTTCACTACCTATGTCGCTACCTGCAAAACCCATCTTTCCTGGTGAAATTCAGTATATAATTAAAAAATTACCTCCCGGCAAGGCACCTGGAAATGACCTCATTACAAACAAAATTCTGAAAAATCTGTCTCTCAAAACTTTATCATTGCTCACCCACATGTATAATTCTATGCTAAGATTTTCCCACTTCTCTAAAATCTAAAAATTTGCAGTCATTATACTTGTACACAAACCAAATAAACCTAAACACTTATCTTCGTCATACCGTCCCATAAATTTACTTCCAGTCCTTGGTAAACTTTTCGAAAAGGCTCTCCTGAAAAGATTACGTCCCATCCTTCAAAACAACCATATCATATCGAATAATTAGTTTGGTTTTCGAAACAGGCACTCAACAATCCATCAAGTTCATCGTCTTACTGATGAAATCTCAAATGCTCTCGAAAATAAAGAATACTGTTCCGGATTTTTTTTAGATATTGCTCAAGCATTCGATAAAGTCTGGCACGATGATTTACTATACAAATTAAAACTTTTCATGTCAGCTCTCTACTATCTTATTATCAAATCTTACCTACAAAATCGTTCGTTTGTCGTACGACAGGGGAACGATATTTCATCTACTCACCCAATATATGCTAGAGTTCCATAGGGTAGTGATCTATCTCCTGATCTATATAATGTATTCACAGCAGACATCCCTCAATCTAGTAACACTCTTTTAGCAACATACACTGATGGTATAGCTATTCTTTTCTCCAGTCCAAATCCTATCTTAGCTTTAGCTGAACTCCAGGATCATGCTAATAAAATTGAATAATGGGCCAAAAAATGGAAAGTAAAAATTAATATGGAAAAGTCTGTACAAGTTACTTTCACGTTAAAACAATCTCCCTGTGAGTGCCCTCAATTAATTATGAACAACGCCCTCATCCCAATCAAACTCAAGTACTTAGGCATAACGCTTGATTAAAGACTAACTTGGGGCCTCCACCAAAAAGAAAAAAAGAAAATCATCGAACAGACTTCACCTCCTTCGACCACTCCTAAACTCCAAAATAACACTCCAAAACAAACTTATTATATATAAGTCAATCATAAGACCAATCTGGTCTTATGGAATAGCAATCTGGGGTCCAGAAAATCCCTCGAACATCAGGCCAATTCAGGCTTTTCAATCAATTGCACTAAGGTTAGTAACCAAACTTGGAAAACAAACCCTACTACAGTATATCAGTACATAAACATTTATTTTATATATTTTAATTAATATATATATATATATATATATATATATATATATATATAATAGTTAAAACTAAATATAGTAAGTATAGTGATTTGGTTTTGTGTATTTAAATAAGTCATTTTATTTATTGTATACTCATTGATTACGAGTATAATATAATCAATATATATTATATAAATAATCAATAGTGCCATTTTAAATTAATATTCTCAATTCTGAAATGAAATTTAATTTTGATTAAACGTAATGAAAAATGTTTAATTTAATAATTTAGTGTGTTCAACTATTTTATATAGTGTAAAGTAATATTGTTTTGCCAACCGAAAACATGACGGACGTATAATCTTGCGTCCCCGGGCTTCACTTCTTTCAATGGAAAACATCGGTAGTTCGTTATCTAGTATAATATAGATATCTGTGCTCTAGACTCTCGTGTTTAGTTTTGAATTAAAAAAACTAACCTAACCCAAGCCGTAAAAACTATGTAGTTTTCGGTTCTGTAAACTTTGATGCAACCGTTCTTGGTATTATTATATTTAATTTATAGTTGTACACACTGTAAATTAATAGACTTATTGTTAGTTTTTTTCTGACAACTACCCTAAACCTACTCACATGGTATTATTTACACTTTGATAATAAAACTTGGATTGATAATGAGTATTTTAAGAAATTTTGAATTTTTCACAATATTTGACGTCTTTCAATAGTATTATTGAGTCTTATTAATTATTGATAAAAACATTGAAACATGGATTCGTTTGATATATTTAAAAAGTTGTCCGTCGGTGCAAAATTCAAAAAACCAGAAAAAAGTATACTTAAATTAGAGGTAACTTATTTTAAAATTAATGTTTTATATAATATATTACATATATATATATAATGTTTTAATTATATAATGTATTAATTCTCTATTTTTGTTTTATTATTTCTTTTTCGTTTGTAAAGAATGATAAATCCAGTACTAGACAGATAAAAATCAAGACAGTCGGTGATCGTGTTCCTGAAGCACTTTCCACATTTGATTTGATGAAAAAGACATATTCATTGAGTTCAGTGTTATTAGAAAATATAAAAAAGTCTGGCTATACTGTGCCAACGCCAATTCAAACTCAAGCTATACCTATTATGTTACAAGTTAGTAAATAGTTTACAATTATTGGCGTGAAAAAGACTGGGATAAAAATTATAATAGTAAATTACAATATGTGAAAAAAAGTGTATTCTTTCTAAGTAAACTATATTTATCCACATTACTGTACTGCATTATTAAAAAAATATCATCAAATATTTTGTTGGTTATGTATTTTGTTTTTATTAATTTTATTACTTAATTTACTTTATATTTACTAAAAGTTCAAAAACCTTTGAATTTCTGCACCATTGTAAACAGACATTTATTATTTTTATTTTGTAGTTAACTATTAATATTTTTTCTTTAGTTTTTTTCTGTGAATTATTATAAATTTAATAATTTTTTATTAGAAAAGGCAAATATTTGCTAGTGCTCCTACTGGTTCTGGTAAAACAGCTGCATTTTTGATACCTATAATTCATCATTTAAGTAAACCAATGAATAAGGGATTTAGAGCTTTAATTGTGAGTCCTACGAGGGAGCTAGCAAAACAAACATTAAGGTATGTATGATGAATACATTATATATATTTATAACATACTTAAAATTTTAAATTATATTTTGATTAATTTTTTTGAATTTGAATTTTTAGAGAATGTACTAGATTATGTGAAGGAATTGGATTACGAGCACACACATTTACTAAAATAAATAAAGATAAAGAAAAGTTTAATCCGAAATTAAATCAGAAATTTGGTAAATACAATTTATACAATACATATTTATCAGTTTTTGTTATATATAATTATTATTATTATAATTTATATAATTTTATAATATTGATTATACTATTTATGAATTTATGTGATTTATATATAATTTTTCATAATGATGTTCAATTCATAATAATCAAGAATTAGCTATTGTATTTGCTTAGGACTGATAAAATATATTTTTAATTTCTTGAATGAGAATCTTGATAAAAATAAAATTCAGTATTTTGGCTAAGGTATAAATGTATTTCTATGTTGGACATAAATATTTTAAAAAATGTTTTGGTTTAATCAAATTTCTTTGTCTTTTAAATATTTGAGATATTAAATATTTACTGCATTTAGTGAATACAAATGTATTCAGTTCATATTTTATTTATTTATAGATTGATCAATTTGTATATTGTTTATTTTTAATATATTTATGATTTTACCTTAAAGTATTTATTGTTTCTCATTGGGGCTTACAGTAAGGTATAAAGAATTTCTTAATATTAGCAATCAAATAGTGATTAAAAATGTATTAAATATATTCAATTTATATATATTAAGTACACTTCTATAAACTTTATTTGGTTTATACTTTTGTATAATTTTTTTGAGCATGGTTTTTAAATTATATTCATTTTTTTTTCTCCATATCAAACACCCAAAAATGTATGCTTTACTGAAACTATATATTTTATGTATGAAATGTATTATAGATATTCTGATAGCAACACCTAATCGACTCGTATTTTTATTACAACAAGATCCACCAGCTGTTGATCTTAATAAGTAATTTTTGTTATATTTTAATTATATGATTTATAATGATTTAGTAATTTCTGATGAATATTGAAATTTTCATTTAATAGTGTCGAGTGGTTAATAATAGATGAATCCGACAAGTTGTTTGAAACAGGTGTTCGAGGTTTCAGAGATCAATTAGCAACTATTTATAAAGCTTGTGGACCAAATGCTTTACGTGCTATGTTCAGTGCTACATATACAGTTGAAGTTGCTAAATGGTCAAAAAAAAATCTTGATGGTCTGATAGCAATCACTGTTGGTAACAGGTAAATATTCTAAATGTATTATTAAAAGTAATTAATATTAAATCCTGAAAAATAAAGTACTATATTACTATATATATTTTTTTAATAAGTTTTACTTTTTAAAATTTTCAGAAACACTACTACTGCTACAGTTAAACAGGAATTAATTTTTGTTGGAAATGAAGAAGGAAAATTAATTGCGATGAGAGATTTAGTGAAAAAAGTATGAATTCTTAGTATTTATTGTGTTATGTTTTATAGATATTGAATTTATATTTTAGGGTCTATCGCCTCCTGTTTTAATATTTTTACAATCTAAAGAGCGCGCAAAAGAACTTTTTAGTGAACTTATTTATGATGGTATCAATGTAGATGTTATTCATGCTGATAGAACGCAACAACAGGTATATTATGAAATAGTTTTCTTAGGTTATTAACTAAATTATACTAATTAATTTCAGAGAGATAATACTGTGAAAGCTTTTCGGGAAGGCAAAATATGGGTATTAATTTGTACTGAACTTATGGGCCGTGGTATTGATTTCAAAGGTGTAAATTTAGTTATCAATTATGACTTTCCATCTTCTGCCATTTCATATATTCATAGGATTGGTAGAACAGGACGAGCAGGACGCTCTGGTAAAGCTGTTACATTTTTTACAAATGATGATAAACCGATGTTGAGGAGGTAATTTTTTTTATGCAAAACAAATGTGACTTATTATAAAATCAAATTAATTTTTTTCAGTATTGCTACTGTTATGAAAGATTCAGGATGTCCAGTACCAGACTATATGTTAGAAATGAAACGATTACATAAGAATACTAGAAGAAAATTGGAAAAGCAATCTACTTCTAGAGATGAAATTAGATCAAAACCTCATAGATATTATAAGTATGTAATTTAATATTCATAATTCTATAAAGATATAGATTTATTGAGCTTAATTATTTTTAGTCTTATTAATAAAATAATTGTAATACATAATAAAATACAGAACAGTATAACAAAAATATTGGGGTGATACTACATATATTTTAAACAGTTTAGTATTCTTTAAAATAAAAATATTTTTGTCAACAACCTATAATCATATGTAACTATGGCCTATAATTGAATATAGTATACAGTTTGAACATTAGAGGTAGTTGAATTACAAACTAGGATTTTACAATTGTGACAAAACAACATTGTTATTTATACCATGCTTTGAATTCCTTAAAGAAATATAATCAATTTAAAGATAATACATTGTATAATATAAAATTATTAATAATATATTTTTTTTTAAGACCAAATACTGATAAAACCAAGTCAACATTATTCAAGTCAAAAAAGGGACTAGTTGAAAATCAAGAAAAAAGTAAAAAAGTAAATGTAATTAAAAATTTAGTGTCAATAAATAATGATAATTACTCTTCTAAACAAGATGGAAAAAGAAAACTAAATGGCTCAAAAGAACATAAAGGTACAAAAAAAATTAAAAAAAATGCTGTATAATGTATTCTTTTAAATATACAATTTAAATGTTATCTAATTGCTTAGTTGTTCACAGATACTGATCTACCTATAGTATAAAACCACTCAATTCTTGTTCCATACCATAATTACTAACTTCCTCGCAAACACTAACTTCTTAGTATCAACCAATTCAGTGTAAAAACATTCGCATTATTTTTAATTATTATGTAGTAAGATTAAGGTTACACGTATAAAAATAAAAATGTTGAAAATTACACCTTATTAGACCAAAAAAATATGTATCATTATGTAAAATGTATAATGAAAATAACAAAAATAATAATGCATTATATTATTATGATATAAAATAAAGTATATTAAGTTTGACTGGAGGAAGATATTATGAAGTTGAATGTATGAGACCAATGTAAATAAATGGTGATGTGATAGGTGAAGTCGAGAACTTTAAATATTTAGGATCATTTGTACAAAAGGATGGGGGCTTTAGCATAGATGTAAAACAGGTTTAAGTGCAGTTAGATAAAATGAAGAGAAGCGTCGGTCATTTTATGCGATAAGAGAATGCCAATGAGGTTGAAAGGTAAATTTTACAGGAATGTAATGAGACCAACTATGCTATATGGTTCATTGTTGGGATGGTTGACAGGAGAATAGAACAGATTATGAGAAAACTTAGATAGATGAGTGGAGTGACAAGAGTAGATGGAATAAAGAACGAATATGTGAGAGGTAGTATTGGTGTATCGTCTATAATGGACAAGATGAAAGAAAATAGACTGATAGGGTTTAGGCATGTGATGAAACAAGAGGAAAAAAATCAGTAAGAGTGGTTATGAAAATAAACGTTGAAGGGAAAAGATATATGATATGAGGGATGTTTGTGTGTGCATAGAGGATGTAGAAAATCGAGACGAGTGGAGGTTTAGGATAAGAATGGCCGACCCCAAATAATTGGGAGAAAGGCAAACGTGAAGAAGAAGATATTAATGTATTTTCAAAGCAGTATTAAATATTTTATCATTTTTTCAAGACTATATCATGTAACCTCAATAAAGGTAAATGCTTTAAAAAAATATATTGGGGGGTGTTTTAACATCTATTACATTTCTTGTAAATATGACACTGGTCATTGTAGACATAATGTTTTTCGTATCTACCGTCGGACACCGATAATCCATCGTTGCAGATTTCTACAAAAACTGATACTCAATTATTTATTATTATGAAAAATATAATTAAGACCCTCCGGTTTCCGTAGTCCTTTCAATAAGCGACCGCTTTGAAACAAGAGTCGAGAGACTAAAACTAGTTGCGCAAGTGACAAGTATTGAAGTGAGAAGACTGAATTTATCAATAAATTAAGGTCTCCTAAAAAATGTTAGAGGTTGTAATTTTTTTTAATATAAAATTTATTGTTGGCCTTAGCTCGATATTTTTATCTTTGTTACTGATAATGTGTTTAAAACTCAATAAGTATGATTGTATGATAATTATTAGTAGTGCTCGACTTGGCAAAATTAAAGAAGGAGGACTCTATTTACTTTTAAAAAAAAGGACGTCCCCAAAACTGGCTGAGCGTTATGATTATAACGTAATAATAGTAGGGGGGCCGCTAAAATTTCTGAAAATTAGTTGGGATACTCCGTCCCCCTGCGTCCCCTCTCAAGTCGAGCACTGATTATTAGAAAACAATTGTAGAAAAGGGTATTTGATTCTTGGTCTATGATGGTGAGTAATTTTTATACTTCCCCCAGGTGTAAAAATTCCTAGTTCTGTATCTGCCTATATACAGTGGCGCCGATCTCTATGTCCAAGTATGGCGAATGCTATAGTGAATTATGTGGTGGGTAGGTTCTGGATGCTGGGTAAGTGACACATAGCGTGGTACCCACAGTCCAATGTGTACCATGAAAGTATTAAAATTATTTAATATTTAACATTATTACATAAAAACACATCAGTTGTGGTACGCTGATTATGTCGATACAAGCCAGAAAACCGTAATATTAACACAGATAATACGATAACGATAGTGCGATGTGGTGAAAATAAATATTATTTAATATATAGAGTGAACACCTATATCGGCTATATCATAAATCATTGATAAGTCATAATATGAAAATATATATATATATATATATATATTAATATCAATTTTTAATACAATATTATGGTAGGATTTCAGTCCCTCCACCGTTTACACCAGTTGATAGGTGGGTAGATACTAATAAAATTCGATATTCGCCATACTGCATTTTTTTGTAGTTCGGCGCCACTGCCTATGTATATAGGTTAACTATAACTTACAAAATATACTTATATTAATACAGGGTAACTTTTAACTAAATAATTACTATAATAGGAAGAATCGATTAGAAACATATTTTAATAAATAATATGTACATCCCGAATTTTATCTAAATTTTATGTCATAAATGTGTAGGCCGTTATATAATGTACTTATGTAATATTCATAATTTTTGTAACAAAATTTGAATGACCCGGTTTTTAAACGTTTATGTTTCTTCAAATTAAAATTAACGAAATAAGACTACAAGAGTATAAGATACTTTATTTACAACGATCGTAATAAAACTCACGAAACAAGAGCACGAATTTTATTTTTATTAATAGAATGGAATAAATGAAAGTAAAGTAATAAAGAATGAAATTCTATTCTCATTTTTATAAGATGTACTTACGAGTTGAAATTATATTATATTTTTGATTAAATTAATGTATAGTATTATTGTGACCAATAAGATTTTAGATTACATAAATAATTACAATTAAATTTTAAGGTAGAAACTTTTAATTGGGTTTTATGCACTAAAAAAAAAAAAAAAAAAAAAAAAGTAGAAAGTATAGAATTGAAATATTAGATATTTTATTTAATAATATAATTTAAATTAATTAAAAATATTATACAGATGGGAACATTGACGTGGCAGCTATAATGGAGAAGCACTTAGGATAGGCTTAGCTTTTAGACTACTATTATAGAAACCTCGGGGCTTTAGAAATAAAATAATTTATGATAATGTATAAATTATTTCTATTCTTATCTTGAGCACCTCCTTGCAGAGAATTCTAGCAGTGCCGTCGGCTCAATGGATGTACAAATTATAAATTCAATAGTGTATTATTTGTATAAGATCGTGAAATATAATATAAGATTGTATAGGTACTTATTGGCTATTAATTACTATGGAATGGAAACTACGGTCTTCTGGTATTTGGTAAACGCCAATGCGGAAGTAAAAGGTAAAAATATTAGTATCTCAACTTGTGCTCGGGCTTGGATTAATCTTAATCCACAATGATACCGTATTGAGTGGTTTAACAATTACGATTATAAGTACGTAGAATAAATTAAGTAAGTAAACGTACAAAAAAGAACATTTATAATACGTTGCGAATTTTAAAAAAATTCCACCCTTCGCAAAGACTTAAATATCGAACCAGTTATTAATTTAGTTAAAAACCACTTAAAAGATTCCATTCCAAATTACATCCACACCCAAATTACATCCTTTAATCGCAATCCAGCATACAATCCCCGCCAACCCCCTCGCCGTCTTAAAATACGTTGGTTTCGTGATATTTTAGATTAAAACCACAATACGTTCGCTTTGAAATTCACCTGAAGGGTCATAACACTGGATAGCTTTCCTGATCAATGCCTCTCAGTTAAGTTTATATAATTATCATATTTGCTTATTGTTTCTATTTTAATATAGATTGTAAATTTATTTATTTTCAATAAAAAACAAAGTAAAAAAAACGTTGATAGACATTGACAACTTAAAAATAGAAACTATCAGTAATTATTTAAGCAGTGAGCAAAGTTGTAAGAAGAAAAACTTAAAAACATTAAACCATTAAATAATAATATATTATATTTTGAAAGTATCTATTTATTACTTTATACGTACGTTCCCATGTTAAAAACTTGTGCACCGTATTCTAACTCTATAATAGACACCCACTACTTATAGACATAACAGATCATATTTTAACATACAAAGTACGTGGGTACTATTGCCCCTCAGCGATAATTGATTGTTACCCAGTGGTGGGCGATCTTGCCACTGACCAACACATTCTCATAACGACCGATGTCAATGTCAATTTAATGAAATTAATCATTATATATATAAAGAATATGGAAATATTTTTTCTTTGTATTAAAGCAGTTGTCAGTTGGAATTGTCGACAAACTTTGTTGTTCATTGGTAACATAATGTTATTTAAAGCTCTTGTATAGTTTATTCTCCTTTATAAAACAATATTTTATTGAATACAGAACATGCACACTATTATAGCTTTGATACTGATATAAAATATAAATATGTATGTTTTACGAAAATCATAAACCTTACACTCAGAGTATAAGGTCTATGACGAAAATAAAAATTAAAAAATTAAATAATACATGACATTTTTACCATGTTACCAATTTCTTCGGAATTGTCATTTTCATAAATTCAAGGCCGGGTGGGAATAACGTGCTATGTAACTACATTTCGGATTTCATTGTTTTTGTAGAATACTGTGCCATGAAGCAATTTCTACAAATTTTTTTTCGTAGTATTATGTTTTTTATCTTCTTGTCACACATAACCATGAGTTACAGACATCGTAAAAGTGTATAAATGTATACTTTTAATAATTATTTATTAGATCCAGTAAAGTGTACACGAGTAATGATTATATTGGCCTATTTACTGTTTTCTATTCATTTGCGTTCTGTGCTCCTGGTGAACAGTAGGATTTCCGACTTGTAGCGACTCAACGGTTAGTATCATACACTGTACAGGTAAATTTTTATATTACTTTTATACAATTATTCAAGAGTATTCAGAAAATATTTAAACTCGTCTAAAATGACACCTACTTGGATGTACTTATACCGAAGAATGCATATTGCATAAATAATTATTAATGAAATTTAGAAATTAATAATATTAGTTTATTTTTTTCTATCATTTCTGTTTTGTTTGAATATTTTTGTTTTGTAATTTCAGTTT